GAGAGAGAGAAAAAAAAAAAGAAAGAAAGAAGTGGAGGGAGGACGAAGGGGCTCTGCGAGCATCGAGGCAAGGAACATACTGAATCACAGTGTGTCGAGGCGCATGGGGCTGGTTGGCTTTGAGTGCCTGAACTACGACTTCCAACCTATAAAAACTAAAGCAACTGTTTGACATGGGCGTCTTAGGAGGAGATGATCCAGGGCTCGGATGGCCTCTAAGGCAATCCTCTTGAGTTCGCTTCAGTGGTGCCGGTCAAAGGCTCGTGTGTAGCTTAGTCCAGGCACAGCACCAGATGAGCCGCGCCTGCAAGCGCCCCAGCACCCACCTGACGAGACGTGTCATACTCCCAAGGACTCAGCCGACAGTCTTTACGCTTTGAAGAGGTTCGGGGTCGTCTCCTGCTTGCTCTGTTATAGGTCTCAGATTTGCAGCCTCTGCTCCCAGTGCATCCTTGAGCTTTGCGAGGGGCTCTTCGGCCAAGCCCTCGGCACTCGGTGGCACCACAGGGAAGCCCGCCACCTGCAGAGAACAAAGAGTAAACCTCCGCGCAAGAAGGGTGTGCTTAGCTAAGTGTTCACGCATCCAAGTGCTGCAGAGGGTCGCGTTTCGTCGTTCTCCTCGCCTGTTTGCGCTTCACCGGCATCACGAAATGGCCGTTGTCAAGATCGTTCTTGGACTTTGCTACTTTGCTCTAAGGATGTGAAGCTGCGCTAGGTGACTTTTCATATGAGACGCATGCCTGACAAGCTGTCCCACAGCCCCTTCAAGCAGCTGTCGAGCCCTCAAGCTACGGGCAGTTGAGGCCAGAACCCACATCCTCATGACATCGGGAGAAGGGCAAACCAATCGGATGAAGCGATTCCCAAACAGATGATGCTCGCTGGACTTACCACTACTAGCCCTCTAGCCAAGCAAGGACGGGCTGGTATTTTGCTCAACTATCTGGCAAATCTTCCCCCAGCTGATACCGGGCTACTGCGGCTTCGTACCTCTGTGTTTCGGATGGGACGAACTGTTCGATGACCTCCCACTCACGTGCACCCTTGCAGGGGATGGCCGCGAGCTGCGTGAGCTTGGCGTTCACAGAAACACAGCGGCCAGAGGCATGTCGGATGAGCCCTTTTGCATCGAGCAGATATTGCTGGTTCTGGTTTTGCCCCGTTATATCGCAGAAATAGACGATGGGACCTGTCGGATCCAGCCGATCAAAGCACTCGATCGAGTTCCAAAGCCGGATCCCCGAGAATTTCCTTGAGCTCCGCGACAGATTTGCAGAAGGGGATGGCGGTCGGGAGTTTGCAGGGACACAGTGGCCAAAGAGCCACTTACAGTCGACGTGACACCAGTCCTGCCCGTGTTGCCGGGGACACTCTGCGCAACTGGGAGCTGTGTGGCCGCCACACACCACTTCAGAAGTTGATGCAGAGTCAGTGTCTGTCTGTTGGAAATCAGACGGAATTGGAAAGCCAAGGGGAGCCATGTTTGCGAAGTGGAGCCAGGATGCTGTAGCACAGTTCTCCAACCTAAAATTTCCACCTGCTTTGGAAATGCATTTCTCGGTGCCTTTCAAGCGCAAGCGGAACACATATTCCGGCAGCACACCGCCAGTGACGTACAGCTTACGAAAGCGATGCAGAAAGTATGCAAAAGGCTTGCATTGCAGATCCTGCAGCTTGCGAACTGCCACCGACACGTCAATCTTTGAGTCCAACTTTCCTTCTCGAAACTTGTCTTTGAACTCACCGAACCAAATTGCAGCAACCCTAGCCAAATTATCGGTGCGATGTTTCAACTTGTAGTGAGAAAGGGTGCGGGGATCGGAGTCAACCCGCCACATGTGCGCCACGTGACTTGATCGGGCACGCAGAATGTCACCACCACACAGCCATGCGCGCAGTGATTGATCCGTGTTCTCCCCGCCCCACCCACGCATGCCAGGATCAAAGCCACCGGAGTCTTTCCACCATTTCTGCGTGGTGGCCACCAGGCCTCCACTGATAACAGGGATAAAATCTGATTGGTCCTCATACCACCAGAAATCGGCATTGAAGTTGATGTAACATTTCGCTGTCAGGGCTCCGTGCACCTTCTCATCCCAGCTGTCCAGATCAAGATCAGCAATCATGGGCACAACCAACCGACGCTCCTTTGCTGCTAGCAGTTCTATGGTCTCTTTGTACCAATTCCTCGCAGGTGCGACGTGGCAATCATAGAAACCGATGTAGGTTCCAGCTGCGGCGTCTCCACCGGTCTGCTTTGCAATCATCAAGCCCAAGGACTCATTGTGCCTCAAGACCTTCAGCTTGCAATGTGGAGGAACACCCTCCAATTTCGTGATCAGGTGTGGGACTGAAGCATCGTCTACCACAATGATCTCCTCCAGGACCTCGGCAGGAGTCCTGTTACAGAAACTCATCACCGTCTTGAAGGCATAAGGTTCATTCAGACAGGGCAGCACCACCGACATGGTGCCCTGTCTCTTCGCTTCGATCCGTGGCTCCAGGAAGCGGGCTGAAGCGGCGCCGGCGACGCCCTCCCGGCCCTCCCCTTTCAGCTCGGCCGGCCTCTCCAGGCTTCCGGTCTCAAAGGTTTTTCGGGCCTCGGGATGGGTGCCTTCCGCCAAAAAGCAGCCGATGATGGCCATCTGCAAGACCACCTGCACAACAACCAGCCACCTGGACGCGCAGCCGCACAACGGAAGGGTGATGCCCAAGAGAGATGTGGCAGTCAATCCCATCAGAGGTGGGCCCAAAGTCTCCAGCATCCCGAGCTCCGTTCCGGTTAAGGGCATGTTGTAGGGGACCAAAAATAAGAAAATCAAAGGAGCTGCCCAGCAAGTGAGACATCTCCGAGACCAGGCCGGTGCCGAAGCACGCTCAGTCCGCGATTTGGCCATGACACGCTGCAAGGACCTGAACTCAGCTGCGAAGCTTGAACCGTGCATCGGCGTGCGAAGATGAATGACAACGCAACAGCTCTCAAGACAGACCTGAGGACGAGCAGGGCCTGCGCCACTTGAGGAATGAAAAACGGCCACGGAATGAAATGCACCTACGCCTACAACAACGGGCCTTCAGGAGAGAAGTACAGATTGCCTTCGGAGTCCCAAGCTTTAATACATACGAGGTGGTTGACATGGGCACTTGGGCCTGCGGCGGCATGGCATACCCGGAGGCTGTGGAAGCACGTTGGCATACCTCTGGTTTGCTCGATTCTTCCAAGTCCAGGCCTCATGACAAAGCCAACCAAGTCATTAATTACCTACTTGTCGGTGACATTGACCGCCCATTCACGACATTCGAACACTGGTTTGGCCTTAAGCGGCACCGTGTATCCACGCTCGCATGAGGGAGGCTATGAAGAGCTTAGCTCTCGAAATCCCTCGGAACAGTTCGCGAATCTAAGACTTTATGGACCTAATGCAGATGTCGGGAAGACCCTGCGTAACGGTTCACAGCTCCGGCTCAGCCTGCTGAGAAAATCCTGACAGGTGCAAGCCGACGCCCACTCGAAAAAGGCACAAGGAAGAGCTCCACTCGTAAACGCACACTTCGGACCAGCTTCTTGGATGTAAAGGCCCCAAACACGAAACCTTGAACCATGATCCCCTTGCACCCCAGATAAGCTGCGAATCGACCTGTGGGGTATGTTGTACGGTTTACGACCAGGCGGATTTTTTTGAAGCTTCGAAGTCCAACTCAAAGATCTCGGCGATATTCGAAATTGTAGGGCCCCGCCTAGGCTGCCATCACCTGAGTAAGGCAAAACGTCGACATCTGCGGAAGCTGTAGAAGCACAGTGGTATGTTGCTTGGTCCATCGGATTGCACTTCTCTGGATTGCTCTGAATGCCGGTGACTGATGATGTTGAGTTCTCCCCAAAACCAGGCCCCGTGACAAAGCCAAGTTGTCAGCGAAACTGACCGCAGCATCACAATGTCCGAACACTGGCTTGGTCGTAAACAAGCACCAGAAAACCGACACCGTTCTGAATAGGGAAACGTTTCCCGCAAGTCAACGTTTATATCCTGAATCTGGCTTGGGTTTCGGCTGGTGACGTCGCACGCACTACAAGCCCATTGTGACTCCGAATGTCAGGACAAGTGGAACGAGCAGTCACAATCTGGTTTTCTCAGTGGACATGTCGCGAAGCATATCAAACATTCACGTCACCGTAACGATTACAACGGCAAGGGGTAGCAGCAGAGCCACCATACAGCGGCGTGATTGGAAGCAGGCATAGCCTGTTTTCCGCAAAGCAACACCAAACTTCCGCAGTAAACAAAATCTCCGTTGCGAAAATACTTACGACCAACACGGCCCAGCTGACAAAGACCTGCAAAACGTGCGCTCGTGGACCATAGCGGGGTGATACCTGTTTTGCAGAGGCTACAACATAATCGGTTTGCAATACATGGCGGCCAAAGCCGACGGAGTTGAGGCACTTGAGGCAAACGTCCCCGATGCTATCTGCCAGCATTCCTACTGTTCTACACAGCATGCAAGCAGAAGCAGTTCTTTTTCATGGGTGCTGCTCAGATAGGAGTTTGACCTGTAGCAGCATGGAGAGGGAAGAAAGGAAAGAAAGGAGGATTCAGCAAAGGCAAAGAAAAAGGATTCAGCAAAGGATTGAAAGGAAAGAGCAAGTCATACTTCCGATGTCACACATCAAGTTCAGGTGGTTAGGTACTTGGCGTATGAAGGTTGGAAGTCGTTGAAGCTTCTTTCCTCCCACTGTGCTGCTATGGTGCCGTCCACGTACTGTCCAAATTATCACAATGGGTCAGAGTGGGCAACAAAGACATACGCCTCGTTCGCAAGACCTAGAACGTCAGATTCGTCTTGGTGTGTTCCAAAACTACGGTCCTAGGGACTCTATAGTTCTATCTCATGGATCTGTCCTGGGCCCGAGGCATGTTGGGCTGGCTAGGCTGAAAGCTGGACCGGACTCTGGAGCCAAGTGACTGTAGGCCGGGCAGGTAAAGGGCATGAAACATGCAGAAAACACCGATGCTGAGGCCTCGACCTGTGTCTGGTGCCTGGCGATATTCAGCCTGGGTTCATCTGGGGGGGATCCGATGGCAATTGGATAGAGGACGCTGAGGCTTGCTCACGAACGTAATCATGGCAGGCCTTATTGCATAGGACAACTTGCAACCACTCACGATGGTCAAGGCAGAGAAGAGTCCAGGCGCAGGCCTGCGACCCGAAGAGGATCCCCTCCAGGCTTTGAAAAATCATAGGCAATCTGGCTTCTGATGAAGCTGAGGCTACG